CTATAAGCGATGGCTGGGATTCGCAAGGTACAGTCGATCGTATTCTCACCATCATTTTGTGCCGTGATGGTTCGTATTCTCACCATCACCATGTGTTGTGTTGGTTCGTATTCTCACCATAATCTTGTGCCGTGTTGGTTCGTATTCTCACCATCATCTTGTGCCGTGCTGGTTCGTATTCTCACCATCACCTTGTGCCGTGCTGGTAAGCGTAGGCTGTCATATTTCGTACATCTCATAGGATCACGGAAATCATGGATCAGGTCAGTTTTTTGTTTTCTTGCCCCATCCACGTGGTCAAGCAATCCAAGTATTTATCTCTTTGTCTTCCTCCTGCTTTCTTGCCACCAGTCTTGCCAGTTGTTACCGAGTTCTTCGTCTTCTTCTTCTTCTTCTTCGCCTTCACCAGCTGTAAACTCTGGCGGAAGGTTCTGGTTGCTCGTCCACTACTGTACTACAGTCATGCTACAGAACCTGAGTGTTGCGTGTGCATCAGTTTTACAGATCTCATTCTCTTGAATACAGACTGTTGGTTCCTTGCCTCTCCGGCAGATGCACTCCGACTTCAAAGGAAGCTCCCCAATTAGTCGACTCTTTCGACATGCTTTTGGGGAGGCAGTGGGTTTATTCTTGTTTTCCCCACAATGGGGCCCCGGAACCCACACGGGGGATTACCGAGTTCTTGAGTACAGTCCTTTTCATAACAACCACCCCCTCCCCCCCCCCCCCCAAAAAAAAATGTCTACGTCTAATTATTCAAATACGTTAACGAATTTCATCTGTATAGATGAGAACTGATTCGTTTGTTTTTAGTCACTCAATGGTATTCTGTGCATTATTCTCATGAAACTACAGTTGATTTTCTATGAGTCCGGAGGTAACTTGAAAGCCTAAATACCCTTGACCTCTGCCGCGGGTAAATGTTTTTCAGCTTGCATGATGATTGACCATGTCTCACATGCATATAATAGCAGAGGTTCTACACAGCACTTTCATCACTCTTGTTCTCACTGCAGTTGACATCATCTTTTTGGTGAGTATCCTTTCGCAAATTGCTACCAGTCACTTTTGGCCTGACGATACTTGTTCTGCCTGGCATCTTGCATAAGATGTTATAACTATTCCAAGATAGTCGTATCTATTACCTGGCTTAACAATTTAGCCGTTTTCATACTTTGGTCTGTCTTTCATATTTTGATCTGTCTTTCATATTTTGGTCTGTCTTTCATATTTTGGTCTGTCTTTCATATTTTGGTTGGTCTTTTATATTTTGGTCTGTCTTTCTTCTCGGCGATGACCAAAATCTCCGTTTTCTAATAATTTAACTCTAAGCCCAGTTTCTTACCCTGGACTATCACTAGTTTGTTACAGATTATCGTATCGTATCGTATCGTATCGTATCGTATCGACAGATTATCCTCATTGCACATCTGACAAGTCCCCTCTTCAGTATAAACACCCCTGCGTGTGGCGACTGAAAACCCATTTTTGAGTTGTTTTACTATTCTTCTTTGGCTACACATGTAGTGTTCATATTTGGCGACACGTCTTATGACCCGAAGTTATTGAAGTCTTTTGAGTGTTGCCGATTCAAGGTCGTCTCCTGAATAATCTTCTCGACCTGCGACATTGAGAGCACTGAGAATTAAACAATTCCTGGTTTGTTGCTTTTTCTGTGCGTATTGTGGCCCTGTCATCAAGCCAATCCGCTCGTCCATTCCCTCCTACTCCAGTGTGTCCTTGTACACAAATTAAACTAATTTCTTTCAGTCGAGACTTTACCAGCGACTCCAACCACTTTCTTGCAATCCCTTCTGTCTTCATCTTCTTAAGCATACTCATGGAATCACTTAGAATAGGGAAGAAAGCTGTCTCTAGCCACATTATTACTTTTGTTACCGCCATCACCTCCATTGTCAGACTACTTTTAGACTACTAAAGCATCCACTTCTTCTTCGTTCACCGGCTGTGAATTCCGGCAGAAGGTCCCGGTAGCTCGTCCATTTTGACTTTTGGCTTTTACCTGGACCTGAGTTTTGCGTGTAAAACAGTTTTACTAGCTTTTGCCGTTCCCTGCCCCACAGGCAGATGTACCCCGACTTCGAGGAAATTGCACACACTAAACACTGCAGATCATATTCTGCCCGGGATTAAAGGAGTTAAACTGTCAACGCCAGCAATTTCTGGGGACATTAAATGTCATGATAGCAGCAAACGTGCCGGCGGCAGGTCTCTTCTAATTGCTGTTAGCTTTTCGCTTCCTTCTTTCATTGATCTCACTGCTTCTTGTTGAATGTTCAAATCCTAAATCGATCAAAGGATTGCTTGTTCTATCCTTGTTTGTTCTAGGATCTTAAAATGTATGTTCAGGGATTTCCGGTCGAAGGCGTTTTCGAAATCAGTGAAGCGTACAAATAGAATGGTAATACTATCTCCTAATTATTTCAATGTCTTCTGCTTGCCCATTCCATTTCACCTCCGAAATCAAATGATTTAAATTCTCAAACTTGATTTTCTTTACTAATTGTCGGGAGTCTGTAGCTTAAGTATTGCGAACACGCTCCATAATGCTGGGGTGCCCGGTTCAATTAAAGCTGCAGGCGACTCGACAGCAGACCGCTTTGCGTTGACATCGACAACGATACCCAGCGTCGACGGTTTATCGGCAATGGCGAACTACTGAACGTACAATTGCCTAGTAACATTAAACAGGCAACATTTGCTGGGGTTGGTTCTACAACATCATATAAAGGATATACGAGTAACTTCTTGTCCTTTTCTCAAAGTCCACTCCGTGTGGCGTTGGTAGTCACGTCTATCTACAACCTTCTGTTTCGTGTACTTTCAGTCAGCTCTGACACAGATGATCTTCCATAGTGGCGTTGGTAATCATGTCTATCTACAACAACCTTCTGTTTCGTGTACTTTCAGTCAGCTCTGACACAGATGATCTTCCATAGTGGCGTTGGTAATCATGTCTATCTACAACAACCTTCTGTCTCGTGTACTTTCAGTCAGCTCTGACACAGATGATCTTCCATAGTAGCGTTGGTAGTCATGTCTATCTACAACAACCTTCTGTCTCGTGTACTTTCAGTCAGCTCTGACACAGATGATCTTCCATAGTAGCGTTGGTAGTCATGTCTATCTACAACAACCTTCTGTCTCGTGTACTTTCAGTCAGCTCTGACACAGATGATCTTCCATAGTAGCGTTGGTAGTCATGTCTATCTACAACAACCTTCTGTCTCGTGTACTTTCAGTCAGCTCTGACACAGATGATCTTCCATAGTGGCGTTGGTAGTCATGTCTATCTACAACAACCTTCTGTCTTGTGTACTTTCTATCAACTCTGACACAGATGAATCTCCATAGTCCATGCCGTGTGGCGTTGGTAGTCATGTCTATCTACAACAACCTTCTGTCTCGTGTACTTTCAGTCAGCTCTGACACAGATGATCTTCCATAGTCTATGCCGTGTGGCGTTGGTAGTCATATCTATCATCAACCTTCTGTCACATGTACTTTCAGTCAGCTCTGACACAATGGTCTTCCATAGTCCTTGCCGTGTGGCATTGGTAGTCATGTCTATCCACAACGTTCTGTCTCATGTACTTACAATCAACTCTAACACAGATGATCTTTCATGCCATCATGTTGAGATGTCCAGCATCTGTTCTCTCGGTCTCCCTCTGCCTCTGTTCCCTTCCAACTTTCCCATGGTTATGATGTACTTCAATTTTCTCCTTCTCATCACATGACAAAAGAATGCAAATTGTCTCTTTCTGATGTGGGCAATCAATTCATTTCATGGATCAGTTTCTTTATAGACGTCCTCATTACTCTGTTTATCTGTCCAGGCCGCAGGGCCATTCAACTAAGTTTGTTGAGTAGCCAGACTAGGGAAACGGAGATTGTAGCGGGCCAGAAGACCAATGCCTAGCAATGAAAAAACATGAAAACAATACAGCTGGCAGGTAATCCGCGGGCCATTTGCTAAGCCTATACGGGACACATTTGGCCTGCGGGCCGCTAGTTGAATAGCCATGAAGGTAATCTCATCACTAGTGTATAAAACCACATCTCCGCAGCGAATAACATTAAAATAATAAAAAGTGCACCCACCTGCGAGGCCTCTAGAAAATAAGGGCAGCTGAACAACGAAGACAGGCTAGAAAGACCTGTATAAGAGGCCCTTGATCTACAGTACGGGCACTGTTCCCTGCACTCACTGTCCTAGATCATACGTGTCCGTATTGCGCTTACAAGTCACCTTCGGACCCGCAGACAACTATAGTTTCAGGAGCTACGTGGTCTCGAGGCATGGTGTCCGCCTTGAGTGCTGGGGGTCCCGGGTTCAAGCCCAGGTGAAGACTGGGATTTTTTCATGTGGACTTCTAGTAATTTTGCCTTGTCTCTGGGTAGTCAGATCGGACGCCCGTGTGTTTTGTTGCACACGTTCCATCTCTCCCTTACATATACATTCACTTTGGTGACGTAACAGGGGAAGTAGCAGAAGAAAAGGAAGAAGAAGAAGAAGAAGAAGAGGAGGAGGAGGAAAAGGAGACGGGAAGACAATACTCCTACAAACAATAATAAGAGTAGGAAAACGAGGAGACATAAAAAATCTAAGAAGAAGAAACAAGAAGAAGAAGAAGAAACAAGAAGAAGAAGAAGAAGAAGAAGAAGAAGAAGAAGAAGAAGAAGAAGAAGAAGAAGAAGAAGAAGAAGAAGAAAGAGGAAGAAGAAGAAGAAAAAAGAAAAATAAGAAAAAGAAAAAGAAGAAGAAGAAGAAGAGGACGTCTGCTCCTCTTTAAGAAAAATTCTCTCTTTCTCTCTCACACAAAGACACATAAACGCGAACAAACTGGAACAAAACCTCAAGCAACGCCTAGCGCGTCACGAAACATTGTAAGAAAACTCGCAAACAATGCTCAGAGCGTCACACACACACACACAAATAACAGCAACCCAAAAACAACGCACAGAGCGTGACTTACCTCCAACATTATCCCGCAGACGTACTTGATGCACTGGGTAATGGCGTCGGCTGTACCGGAAACCGTCACTGCACGCTCTGTGGAGTTCGGGAGCATTTCACTGGCTACTTGGATGGATGCACCGGTTGACTGAGGAAGACATAAAAAGAAAAAAGGTTCTGCATGTTTAAACCCATAAAATGTAAATAAATGTTTGATCATCATCATACTTTAGCTGGCCCTTCGCTGAAAGTCGCCCTCAACACGTTCTGTGTTAAAAAAAAGGGTCTCTCGCCCATTCTCCCGCCTCTTGTGTTGAGTTAACATCACAGCACTCGGGGCATTCCCATGCGTGCTCTGTCCTCATCTTCTGCAGCCAGCGCAGTGTTCCAGCGACTCCACCTCCATTCTCATGTTGTGGGTCTAATGCCAGGCTGTCTTTCCATCGGCTTTCGCTATGAACCCCCAGGCACATGGCTTTCCTCTCAACACCGAACCATATGTAAAAATAATCAGATCACCTGGGAGTGAATTGTCTCCTGCCTCTTGCCTTTTTCTACCCAAGCTGTCACTAGTATCCTCTGCTTATCATAGTGTTGGTCGGCCACCGCCTCTTGCCTTTTTCTACCCAAGCTGTCACTAGTATCCTCTGCTTATCCTCGTGTTGGTCGGCCACTGCTTCTTCCTCGTGGTGCTATGCCTTCTGTTATACGTTTTTTTCTCTCCATCTGCTGTGGTGTTGGATGAGTGCAATCTTTCTTAGCTTCGAAAACAAGATGTTGTTTATTAGCATTTCCCTGGCTACTTGGAGGACAGCACTGGTTGATAAGCGAAGACACAAGAAGGAAAATCTCTTCATTATTCTAATGCATAATAAATTTATAAAAAATGGTGATAGTTTAGGCGATTGTTATCGCAAACACACGGAGCTTCAATTTAAAATAGACCCTTTTCCTCACACCTTTTAGGCATATGGGTATATAGGTCCAGGCCTATTTTATAGACCAAACGGCACTTGATAGTTGATGCATCACGCGGGCTGCCATTGCTTCCCAGGACTGTACCTTGTACCCACTCAAGGCTGGGTCGACCTGGAAGCCAAGGTCATTTTTACACGTCTGGCTACCGTTAGGAACCGAACCCACGAACTTCCGATCCGCAGGCGAGCATCTAGCCGCTAGACCACTTCGGCTTCCTAGCTTCAAGGTAAAAAAAAAAAAAAAAGTACTATGCATACGAATAGGGTGACCATATTATCTTCGGTTAAACGCGAGACATTCCAATAATATTTTGACCAGAAAACGGGACATTGCAAATAAGCCAGTATCTCATCTCTTAAGGTCTTCGGGATAAACGGGTTAATTAACTGCGCGATAATGGCGTTAAAACCTGAACCACTGCTTCCAAGAAATAAACGAAACAATGAAAACATTAACTTAAGACATTAACAGTGTCTAAAACTATGCAATCTAACAAGATCTACAGCTACAAGTATATGTTCTGTTCTCGAGCTCATCAAAAAGGACAGTTAGTGTTTTCTTTAGTACCGACGGTACGCTCGGGAGCACACCTAAAAACGGGACTTAGTTTTAGTCTCAGGCTTAATCTTAATCTTAGTATTTGTCTCAGTCGTGGTTTCATCTTCACCGCAAAAGGGTCACCCGATACTTCCTCGTCTCGTTCCTGTTCCAGTTAAAATTAAATGAAATATCTCTCACTGTCCTATTTGAAAAAAACTGGTGAACAAACAATTAGCCCCGGAACAATCCAGAAATAAGCGCACGCAGTAAATATATATTTCAGTTGCTAGAGGCGCCAAAGCCAACAGTCGCTACCAGAATAGCAGTTTGTCTTTGATGGAAGTAGTGAGGTACGATATATACGATAGGTTGGCTACATACACGTTTAATTATTACACAAGGTCCATACCATGTAGGGCTGTTGGTAGTTGTGTCTGTCTACACCCTTCTGTCTCATGTCTTCTTACAGTCCATGCCGTGTGGCGTTGGTTGTCATGTGTATCCACAACCTTCTGTCTCGTGTATTTTCAATCCACTCTGACACAGACGACCTCTCCCATAGTCCATGCCGTGTGGCGTTGGTTGTCATGTCTATCCACAACCTTCTGTCTCGTGTATTTTCAATCAACTCTGACACATATGATCTTTCATGTCATGACGTCAAACTGTCCATCATCTTCACTCTCGGTCTCCCTCTGCCTTTTCCCGTCCAACTCTTCAACCTCCAAGATGTTTCCTCATGTCATGACCAAATTATGTAGATTGTGTCTTTCGACGTGCCCCCCCCCCCCTCTCTCTCTCTTCCTTTTTTTCTTTCTCTCCGTATTTCTAACCCTAATTTCACTTCTTTTTTACTTTCTTTCCTCATTCCTTACATTATAACAACTCATTTGTGTTCGAACGTGAGAAGGAAGATGAAATTGAGAAGGCAGAGGATGAGGAGGAAGAACAAGAGGAAGTAGAAGAAGAACAAGAAGAGGAGGAGGATGTGAGAAGGAAGAAGAGGAATAAGAAGAGGAAGAAAAAGAGGAAGAAGAAGAAGAAAAAGAAGAGTAGGAGAAGCAGCAGCAGAAAAAGACAGAAGATGATGATTTGAAGTTAACAAAGCAACAAAGACAGACAAACAGACAGATAGAATAAAAGAAAGGAAGCAGAAAATTAAGGAACCACGATAAATCAACGCACGAAAGATAAATTCACCAAGTTTTGAATCCATCAGCGAGACACATCTATCTACATTAAAGGAAATTGCTTGGAAACTGCTTAGAAAATGAAACAATCCCCATCAGGCTATATATTCCTTATGTAACAGGAATTTGCTCAATAATTGCCAGGTTTTTCGACTATCCATGCCAGAGTAAAGATACTGTATCTGAGTATATCTACGACCAGGGACATTAATGCAGAAAATGCTACAGAGATGGGGGAAAACCGCGCCGGGAAGATGTCAACAGGAATGGGAGTGTGAAATTGAAAATATGGGAGACAGGTATAAAGAGGAGTGCTACGTGTTCATAAATATGTTTATGCTAGGGGGTGGGGAAATAAATGAACACGAAATTCCATTAAATGCGAACAATTAGGTGGTATATTTAGGAAATAGAGATAAATAATGAAAAAGAGAAGACAAAGAGAAACGGAGTAGGGATGGTAAAGACGTGTATTTGGATTTGCATAAACAGGCAGCATGCAGAAGATAAAAAGAAGATGTTGATCAGGGAGAGGAGGGGTAAAAAGGATAAAAGGAAGAAAAAACACGCCATCAGAAGCATCAGAGGCGGCAGTAACAAAAGAAGAAGAAGAAAAAGAAAGAAAGAAAGAAGAAGAAGAAGAAGAAGAAGAAGAAGAAGAAGAAGAAGAAGAAGAAGAAGAAGAAGAAGAAGAAGAAGAAGAAGAAGAAGAAGAAGAAGAAGAAGAAGAAGAAGAAGAAGAAGAAGAAAAAGAAGAATAGTAATAAAAAGAAGACACAGAAACATACAGAGAAAGTAATAAGATGCCCCCGAGGAATGAAAGAAAAGGCAGGGGAAAAAATGAAAACACAGGTAGCTAGCGTTACAATGACACCACATCAGCTACTTGATCTGCTATCCTAATACACATCAGGACATGCAGCAGAAGGGAATGACGTAAGAGGAAAATTAAGTCATTATCTCATCATCCATGACCACACACACACACACTTACGCGCGTGCGAAACACATCAGACGAGTATGAAGGATACACACCATTTGTGAAACAACATTCCCGATTTGCGCTTTAAATGAGGGAGCTGCATGCGTCAATATATCTTGATAGAGACAACAAATCTGCCGTCTAAAAATGGATAAATATTGTTTTACGATTCGCAACCTAACATGGACAGATTTCCATAGTTACGAGGGAGGTTAACAAGTGTGATAAAAATTAGAATAGCTATGCTTTTGTCTTGTGTCCCGTCTTGTTAAGGATGTCAAGAGTGTTCAGAATAGAATAGCTTTGCTATTGTTTTGTGTCCTGTCTTTTAAGGATGTCAAGAGTGTTAAGAATCGAATCGATTTGCTATTGTCTTGTGTCATGTCTGTTAAGTATGTCAAGAGTGTTAAGAATAGAAAAGCCTTGCTATTGTCTTGTGTCCTGTCTTTTAAGGATGTCAAGAGTGTTAAGAATAGAATAGCTATGCTTTTGTCTTGTGTCCTGTCTGTTAATGATGTCAAGAGTATTAAGTATAGAATAGCGATGCTTTTGTCAGGTGTCCTGTCTCGTTAAGGGTATCAAGAGTGTTAAGAATAGAATAGCCATGCTGTGCTTGTGTCCTGTCTTGTTAAGGATGTCAAGAGTGTTAGGAAAAGAATAGCCATGCTATTGTCTTGTTTCCTGTCTTGTTAAGGATGTCAAGAGTGTTAGGAATAGAATAGCCATGCTATTGTCTTGTTTCCTGTTTTCTTAGGGATGTAAAGAGTGTTAAGAATGGCACATTACTTTGTAGACGAACACGAGGACGTCATAATGACTGTTTAAAGATGGCGGCCCCACTTATGACATGCACCACTACTTATTATATTTGATCTGTTTGATTTAGCATGTTATGTTTACATAACCAGGGCTACATTAACACATAAGCATACTTAGCACGTGCTGAGGGCATCAAAACGAAAGGGGGCACCACAACAATATTCACTATTCTTGAGCTGAACGTTTATTCTCTGAGCAGAATTATATTAAAAAATCCCAGCAGAATAACAATGCAAAAAGAGGGGCTGGATGCCTTCATTTTAAAGTCCATACCGTGTAGCGTCGTTAGTTATGTCTATCCACCACCTTTTGCCTCGTGTGAGTTATGAGTTAGATTATCTTAACAGCACTCTGGACACATCCATAGACGCTCAGATTTCCCAACATATTTATCAGCGTCAGGCGGTTAATAGTACCAGTCCTATGTTGGTTAACAAAACTTTCTGTGCGTCCGGTGTGCTTCTCGTGCTTGGCTGTGCTGATATATACTCCCAACTCGCGTATTCTTAGCAGTGATGTGGACACGTTGCTTCCAAAATCCTCAGAACGTCCTATCTCTCTAAGGGCAATACCATGGGCCGGCCATCTTCAATTAATGCAGCACCTGCCAGTCTGTCAGCTCTTTCGTTACCAACAAAC